GGCTCCACTAAATGCCACCGAAACGAAATATGTAAAAGAAGATTTTGATTTACCACCACCCAAAGAAGGACAAACGGTAGAAGAGCCACGTTTCAATTTGAAAATTTCCAGCTGGAATGTGGCTGGTTTAAGGTCGTGGCTCAAGAAGGAGGGATTGAAATATTTGGAATATGAAGAACCCGATATATTTTGTATGCAAGAAACTAAATGCACCACAGATCAATTGCCCGAAGAAGTGGTACGCATACCCGGCTATCACCCCTATTGGTTGTGTATGCCGGGTGGTTATGCGGGAGTGGCTATTTATTCCAAAATTATGCCCATTAATGTGGAGTATGGCATTGGTAATAAGGAATTCGATGATTGTGGTAGAATTATTACAGCCGAATATGAAAAGTTCTTTTTGATAAATGTCTATGTACCCAATTCGGGTAGAAAACTGGTTAATTTAGAGCCACGTATGCGTTGGGAGAAACTATTCCAGGAGTTTGTACAAAAACTCGATAGCCGCAAGCCGGTAGTTATATGTGGTGATATGAATGTATCACATCAAGAGCATGATTTGGCAAATCCCAAAACTAATACCCGTAATGCCGGCTTCACCAAGGAGGAAAGAGATAAAATGACTGAACTTTTAGCTCTCGGTTATGTGGACACCTTTAGACATTTGTATCCGGATAAGAAAGGAGCCTATACCTTTTGGACTTATATGGGTAATGCCCGGGCTCGTAATGTGGGCTGGCGTTTGGATTATTTTATTGTCTCAGAACGTTTTCTAAAACGTGTCGTTGATAACTGTATACGTAGTCAGTGTAAGGGTAGTGATCATTGTCCTATTACTTTATTTTTGAAATTGTAATTTGTAACTTACATACGTATTTAAAAAAAAAAAACATAAATGTTTAGTGTTGTATTTTCGGCGAAAAACAAAAAAAAATTACAGATCTTTTTTTAAGCGAAAAAACATCTTGTCTAATTTTAATTCCTAATTTTTTAAAATTTGTGAAAATTTTATATATAAATTCATCACAAATTTTTAAAATTTCCTTTATAATTTGTTTAAGTTTATCTTTATTTCACCCACTATTTTTAAACTATTAAATTATTTTTTAATTCTCTTTTATTCTTCTAAGTATTTTCGTTTTTTAGTGCTTGTGTTTCCTTTTAAATGGAAATACAGCCTTCGTTTTAATGCATTTCAGTTTTCTTATCTGTATATTAGTATTTAAAAAGTAGTATTTTATCGCAAAATAAAAAGATAATAAAAAAACGTAAATGTTAATATTATTTTTACATAAAATTTACATTTTCAGCTATTTCATTCGTTTTAAAACAAATTCAGCTAGCTGAATTAAAAAACCCAACAATATTCGGTTAAATTTAGTGTTTATAAACTAATTCAGCAATAAATTTTTATAATAAACATCTGTATAATGTGTTTAAAAACTAATTCAGCTAGCTGAATTGTAAAAAAAAACAAGATTTATTATAAAAGCCATTTTTGTGTTAAATTCAGCTAGACAAATTAGTAATTCAGCAGATATATGCTTTTAAAATTGTTTAAATTTTTTTACTTGAATTTTACTTTTATAAATGCAAATTTCCTTCATTTTTTTGCATTATTTCACTACTTAGCAATTGTATTTACTTACAAAATTAATTTTAAAATCCAATAGTTCTGATTCTACTGGATTATTGCATTAATTAATTGCTCTGCACTTGCAATTGTACCAGAAAGTCAAATTCTGAAAGCGCCTTAAAGTATGCTTTAATTTTCACAATTAATATAAATTTAGCGCCATCTATTGTTCGCACTAACCTCATTTCATTTTTACAAAATTCAAATTTTACAGGGTGGCATCTCAGGCTAAAATTTCGCACCCAACTAACATTCCCAATCTGGCAACACTGGTTAAATTCAAAGAAAAATCGGGTGTTGCCAGATCGTTTGCAATAGTGTGGTCGAAAATTTGCGGCTGTGCTGCCACCCGAGGAAATACACTTTATGCAAAACAGAAACGAGATCAATGTGTACAATAGATGGCGCTAATTTTATGTCAATTTTGAAAATTAAAGCATACTTTAAGGCACTTGGAAATGATTTCCTGCAGCAATTGCAAAGGCAGAGCAATAAATTAATGCAATAATCGAGTAGAATTCTTAAATAAAACTATTCCGCTAACCTATAGAAAAGACTAGAACAGACTATAGATTATATTAGACTATAGCCTAGACAATAGACTAAACTATAGACTAGACTATAGACTAAACTATTATAGACTAGATTATATAGACTAGACTTGACTATAGACTAGACCATAGACTACACTATAGACTAGACCATATAATAGACTAGACTATAGACAAGACTATAGACTAGACTATAGACTAGACTATAGACTAGACGATATAGACTACTAGACTATAGACTAGACTATAGACTAGATAGACTAGACTATAGACTAGACTATAGACTAGACTATAGACTAGACTATAGACTAGACTATAGACTAGACTATAGAGTAGACTATAGACTAGACTATAGACTAGACTATAGACTAGACTATAGACTAGACTATAGACTAGGCTATAGACTAGACTATAGACTAGACTATAACTAGAATAGACTAGACTAGACTAGACTAGACTAAACTATAGACTAGACTATAGACTAGACTATAGATTAGACTAGACTATAGACTAGACTATAGACTACTAGACTAGACTAGACTAGACTATAGACTAGACTATAGACTAGACTAGACTATAGACTAGACTATAGACTAGACTAAGACTAGACTATAGACTAGACTATAGACTAGACTATAGACTAGACTATAGACTAGACTATAGACTAGACTATAGACTAGACTATAGACTAGACTATAGACTAGACTATAGACTAGACTATAGACTAGACTATAGACTAGACTATAGACTAGACTATAGACTAGACTATAGACTAGACTATAGACTAGACTATAGACTAGACTATAGACTAGACTATAGACTAGACTATAGACTAGACTATAGACTAGACTATAGACTAGACTATAGACTAGACTATAGACTAGACTATAGACTAGACTATAGACTAGACTATAGACTAGACTATAGACTAGACTATAGACTAGACTATAGACTAGACTATAGACTAGACTATAGACTAGACTATAGACTAGACTATAGACTAGACTATAGACTAGACTATAGACTAGACTATAGACTAGACTATAGACTAGACTATAGACTAGACTATAGACTAGACTATAGACTAGACTATAGACTAGACTATAGACTAGACTATAGACTAGACTATAGACTAGACTATAGACTAGACTATAGACTAGACTATAGACTAGACTATAGACTAGACTATAGACTAGACTATAGACTAGACTATAGACTAGACTATAGACTAGACTATAGACTAGACTATAGACTAGACTATAGACTAGACTGTAGACTAGACTATAGACTAGACTGTAGACTAGACTATAAACTAGAATATAGACTAGACTATAGACTAGACTATAGACTAGACTATAGACTAGACTATAGACTAGACTATAGACTAGACTATAGACTAGACTATAGACTAGACTATAGACTAGACTATAGACTAGACTATAGACTAGACTATAGACTAGACTATAGACTAGACTATAGACTAGACTATAGACTAGACTATAGACTAGGCTATAGACTAGACTATAGACTAGACTATAGTCTAGACTAGACTATAGACTAGAATATAGACTAGATTATAGACTAGACTATAGACTAGACTATAGACTAGACTATAGACTAGACTATAGACTAGACTATAGACTAGACTATAGACTAGACTATAGACTAGACTATAGACTAGACTATAGACTAGACTATAGACTAGACTATAGACTAGACTATAGACCAGCTATAGACTAGACTATAGACTAGACTAAAGACCAAGCTATAGACTAGACTATAGACCAAGCTATAGACTAGACTATAGACCAAGCTATAGACTAGACTATAGACTAGACTATAGACTAGACTATAGACTAGACTATAGACTAGACTATAGACTAGACTATAGACCAAGCTATAGACTAGACTATAGACTAGACTAAAGACCAAGCTATAGACTAGACTATAGACCAAGCTATAGACTAGACTATAGACCAAGCTATAGACTAGACTATAGACTAGACTATAGACTAGACTATAGACTAGACTATAGACTAGACTATAGACTTGGCTATAGACTAGACTACGGACTAGACTAGACTACAGACTAGACTATAGACTAAACTATAGACCAGTTCATATACTAGACTATACTATAGATTAGGTTAGATCCTAGACTATAGCCTAGGCTACAGACTAGACTGTTTTTGCTATTAAGCTAGCTGAATTAGTTTTAAGATGTTACATACTTAAAATTTATGTTTTTTAATAGAAATTACATTTTTTTGCTATTCAGCAACTGCATTAGTTTCTTATTAAATCAGCTGAATATGAATTTCTGTTATACATGTAATTTGTTTTTGCTATTAAGCTAGCTATTTAGTTTTTTATAACATAATATAGCTGAATATGAATTTATATTATAAATTTTGCTTTAGTTTTGCTATTCAGCTAGCTGAATTAAGTTCTCATTACATAATATAGCTGAGTATTAATTTATATTATAAAAAATTGCTTTATAATTGCTATCCAGCTAGCTGAATTAGTTTGTTAGTGCATAATATAACTTAATATAAGTTTTTATAAGTTTTTATATGTGCTTTATTTATTAGCTATTCAGCTAGCTGAATTTGTTTATAATTTCATTTTAAACAAAACAAAAAAAAAAAAAAAAAAAAAAAAAAACATTTACAATTTAAATTTTTTGTTTGTAAATTCGTCCAAACCAAATTATTTAATAAATATTTCAATTGTTTCTTAAAAAATATATACAATTATTACAAAAAATTTGTTTAAGAAAATTTGCTTAAAACTAATAAAAAAACTTAAATTTAAGTAAAAAATAATATTTTTAAAAAATGTTTTAATTTATACACAATTACATATAAAAAGAAAAAATTATAATAAAAATCACTGGTTGAGGTTATTTTAATATTTTTGTTAAGTTATCACAATTGCTGTTTTCAATACTTTCCAAGGAAGGTGGCTTAGAGACTTTCCCTAAAGGGTTTCTTTGCAGGCCTTATTGTCCCTTTAGATTGTACAAATTAAGATTAGCTTGCCGTTTCAAAATCTCACCCATACAGAGAGCGGCCCGTTGCTTTTGTAAAATTAAGGCAAAAGTTTGGGGATTAAATTGATAGTGTTGTTGCTGTAGACGATAATTGGGATTAAAGAATAAAGGTGAGGGCTGCAGAAAATGGGGCTGGTATGCTGCATATGCCATAGGTGGTGAGGGTGAAGGTGTTGGCGGGGCGAAGGAGGCAGCAAATCTTTTAAATTCCATGGTATTTTCTTCTTTTTCATCCAATTTCGTTTGTACTTCAGAATGTTTTCTTTTACGGGGAGGTGTATTATCGGGCAAAGCATAGGGTCTAAAGAGATCATTGGTGGATCTTTTAGGGGCCAAAGTAGAGTTGGTATTTTGTAGAACTTCGTTGTTGGTAACGGTTTCTTTTAGAGAGTTCGCTGATCTTGTGCCAAACTTCTTATGGGCATAGTTGCGTTTTCCTTGGAACTTCTTGTGAGTATATTTATCAGTATTTTGTGTATTAATATCCAAAGTTTGTGCTGGAGCCATTTTTTATTTTTGTTAATAACGTTTTAATTATCAATTCACTAAATTTCTTCACGGTTTTGAAACTTTTTAGAGTTTAGCGTATTTAATAATGATCTTTACTCATTGATGTCTTAAATGAATCTGTTGCGTTTTTCCAGATGATCACAGATTTTATACAACAAATCACCCTTTTTCTTAGTGGCCTGTGTTCCCCCTCCCCTGCCCAGGTAGCAGAGTTTAGGCTCATACATGTTCAAAGCAGGTCATTTGTTCCATCAATAAATTATCATTAACCGTAAAATTTATGACACCTTTTGAACAAAACTGTTCTTACAGGTTGTATAATTCTGCCTGTACCGCTGGAAAATGCTCTAGTTGATTCTGAAAATAAGAAAATTTCTTAACAATTTTAGGTCATAAACATTTTCTTTATGGTTACCAATATAAATAAGGGATTTTTTTTCAGTTCTATATGTGGCCATTACACGAAATGTGTCATCTTGTCATGTTTTTCAATATCATATTTCGTTTACCTGCTGATTTAGGGTATTGTTTGAAGTGTTTTGTATTATGAGACCGACCCAAGAAGGAGGTAACAACATGAAAAAAGGTTGAATGTATACAATGGAAACCAATTAATTTTTCATTTAGTTGTGTTGCTGCTCTCTTAATCCGCTTTTTAACAGCTAAAGTAGTACAATACCTTTTTTAGTTTTACGTACGATCACTATTAGAAAAACACATCAATTAAGCATTAGAAAAAAGTAAGAAATACATTTTGTGGAAATTTAATATCAATGATTTTTCCCCCTTCCAACATTTAAAAACTAATTTAAATGGGAAATTTATGTTAATGTTAATCCCTATTGTATTCCAGTTCTTAAATATTATTCATTCTTACATTTTAAAGATCTTTCCGGGTTTTTCTTTAATTGTTTTTTTTGAAAATATTATAGTTTCTTAATAAATCTTTTATATTTTTTTAATATTTTTCTTATTTGCTTTAGTTTTTCTTTTCTATTCTTTAAACACTTTTTCGTTGCTCGATTTTTGTTATTGAAATATCGGTTACTTAGGTCATTCACTTAGAAATGATTGCCAATGATTGTCATTATTAAGAAATTTATAATTTTATGTTAATAATCCCCTCTGGATGGAACATCTGTTCTCTCACATCATGATAACATTAAGTTTCAAAAGTGACACCTCTGTATACTTTGTGGCAGGGCCTAAATAACTCAGTACCAGAGTGTTGATATTGTTGTTGTAACAGTTCGACTATGGATAATAGTGTTTTCCTGGTGAACAGCTTTCGATTGATACAACTGTCGCTGGATTGTCGCGGATTTGACTGAGTATGACTCGGTTCGTTTGGGAGTAAAGATACAATGTAAGTCTTGATTTGATCGCAGTCATCATACAGCGGTCTGGGAAAAAACTTTTGGTTCATACAGCTGTCGCTAGGTTGAGAATCTCGTGTCGCTCGGTAGCGAAGATTCAATGTAAGTATTGATCTGTTCGCCAGACATATGTCGTGTCACACAGCGATCGTAAGCAAAAGTGTCAACCGACTGCCATTGATGTACTCCGAGGGAGTTGAAAGAAAACTCAGTAATGCAAAGAATTTTGCAATGACAAAGATAAAGTGGAAATCGGTTTCCATAATCTATGCGAATATCGTAGCCCTAGCTGTCAAGAGGAATAGATTCCTGGGCGTCTGCTTCTAGACTCAACGATCTATAGAGATGTTTTCGTGCTACTACTTGGATCTAATACCATATTAATATACACTATAAAAGCTCTGATAGTTTGTCAGTTTGATAATCCAATCCAACTCTGAATCATATCTCAAACCAAGGATGAAGTAGAGCGAATGTTGGGAGAGGTGTGTGACAACAGCAAAACCAATAAAATTTGGGACTTAGAGAAGAAAGTTGAATAATTTGATGTATAAGATCAACCTATGAAATAAGGTGGCAACCGTTTCGAAATGATGAAAAGTTAACGGTATCGGTATTGCCATTTTAGGGGTAATGGTAGTAGTTTGGCGATAGCGGTTGCCAACCTTGTTCTGAAACAAAGTGAGAATAAACCCAAGAAGAAAAAGAGAAAAAGTCAATAGCTAAGCTAGCTATTGTGAAGGCTATCCAAAGGTTATCTGAAAAGAAGACTCTAGCAATGAGGAAGAAGAAGCTAAACGCCGAAGACTAGAGAAGACACCGTCAAAAGACACTGCCATTGTTAGTGTTTCGTTGAAATTAGATGCAAATATTTTGGATCAATGGAATATCTTGAGTTTTTGGGTAGAGGATATGTCGAATTAAAGATCAGTGACGACTCAAGGTTAGGTTAGGTTACCTAGGTTGTTCGCTAGTAAACGAGTTCACTAGAAGGCTTGTGGCCCATTGTAATACCTTTAGAATTGCCATTCCCTAATATTGAGAGCATGGGTTCCCTTCCTAATTTCGTTGACTACTTGATTCGATCGGTCTCCGTGTAAACCAGTCGGTGCTTCTATTAAAACCGATCATGGTTACTAGTGACGCATCTCTGAGACAGTCCAGATTATGGAAAGGAGCTCTATCAAGATAGAGTAGTCTGTGCTCTTGTAAGTGATGACTCAAACGAGCTTCAATTGTCTGTCTATTATGCTATTTCTATAGAGCAGATGGGAAGGTTCAATCGTGTATCCATTTTAATCACAATATAGAATTAATTGTGTTTCTATTCTAATTGTAGTTAAATTTAAAATCGTGAATCTCTTATGAGGATCATTAACCGAGTGGTGACTTATATTAAACTCTCTTTTGAGGATCATTAATGACTTTAGTAGAGCTTCAATTGATTTAGACTGAATAGGGTTTCAATGTGTCTGCATTTTTATCACAATTTAGCATCAATCAAACGATCGCGTATTTCTTCTAATGATCAGTACAGACTTCAATTAAGCTTCGACTATCCATTACATTATAAAATAGAGCGAATGAGCGTAAAATTTTAATCATAATTTAGGCTGAATTGTGATTCTTGTAGTTTCATTTAAACGATCGCTGATGTCTTCTGAGGATCGTTAGTGAATTAATTGACAAAGTGAATGAGTATTCAAACGCATTTTCATTTTGATCACAATTTACGTACTCATATTATTGTAGTTGCATTTAAACGATTCCGGATTTATTTCATTGATCAGTAAGTAAACGATCGCGAATATATCAGTAGCCATTTCAATTGAGCTACAATCCATTCTATATGTAGAGTAAATGGTGGTTCTATCGTGTCTTCTTTTCTATCGTGTCTCCGTTTCTATCATAGTTTGGCATCATGTGCTTCTATCCTAAATGTAATTGAATATAAAGGATCGCGTATATGTTTTGAGGATCGATAATGACTTCAAATGTGCTTCCATCGACAGTCTATAGACCGAATAGGAGTACAATAGTTTCCGCAATTGTATTAAGTGTTCGACTCTATTCTAGTAGTAGTTGCATTTCAACGATCGCAGATTTCTTCTGGAGGATCAGTAGCCATTTCAATTGAGCTGCAATCGACCCATAAAGCTTGTCATAATTTAGCATAGAATGTGATTCTGTTCTAATTGTAAGTCTATATAAACGATCGCGAATATATTTAGAGGATCGCTAGTAATTGAAAATGAGCTTCCATCGACTATTCATTATAGACTGAATAGGATTTTAATCGTGTTTAGATGTTAATCACAACTTGAAATCAATTGTTGCTCTATTCTAGAAGAGTAGTTGCATTTCAACGATCGCCGATTTCTTCTGGAGGATCAGTAGCTATTTCAATTGAGTCGTAATCGATTCTTCATTATTTCTATTCTCATTTGACTCTATTCTAAAAGTAATTAAATTCCAACGATCGCGGATTTCTTATAGAGGATCAGTGATTTTCAAAAGAATTTCAATTATGTTATAAATGTAAAGCTTATAGCCGTCTTTTATCATAATTTAGCATCGAATGTGATTCTATTCTAATTGTATATAAATGATCGCGAATATGTTTATAGGATCGATAGTGATTAAGAATGATTTTCAGTAGACAGTCCATTTTTATCTATCGACCGAATAGATGTTCAATATTTTATGGAATTTTATAAATATTTGAAATCAATTGTCGAAGTAGTTCCTTTTTAACGATCGCGGATTTCTTCTGGAGGATCAGTAGTGACATAATTGAGCTTCAATCGACCATTATGTTATAACTATAAAGCTGTATGTTTTCGATCATAATTTAGCATCGAATGTGTTTCTATTCTAATTGTATATAAACGATCGCGAGTATATTTAGAGGATCGCTGCTGATTGAAAATGAGTTTCCATCGACTGAATAGGATATCAATGTCTTTAGATTTTAATCTCAATTTCAAATCAATTGTTGTTCTATTCTAGAAGTAGTTGCATTTCAACGATCGCAGATTTCTTCTGGAGGATCGGTAGTAGCCATTTCAATTGATCTTCAATAGACTTTCAATTATGTTATAACTATAAAGCGAATGTTCTATTCTAATTGTATGTAAACGATCGAGAATGAGTTTTGAGGATCGATAGATAGATTTCAAATGATCTTCAATCGACTGCCCTTATGTTATAACTATAAAGTGAGTTTTTGATCAATAAATCGAAACAGAATTCGACAAATTATTAAAGATTAAAGAATACGAAACAAAATGGCGTTTTATGCACTTTAAAGTAGTTCAATTACAGCTCTTTTTTATAACATCAATCTAACCCCTAATGTGTTCTATTTAATTGAGAGCAGATGATCATTGATTTTTCATTAAAGAATCTCTAGATTTAAAAAAACTTTTTGAAATCATTTGCCCCAAACAAATAATGATTGTATTTTAATTATAATGAAACAAATGTGTTTTTTCTTTAACATGATCTTTTTTGTTAATTCCTAAAACAATATAGAATAAAGATCATTAATCAAACGATCACTTTTTGATCCTATTTAAATAAACTACTACATTTTTTCCTTCCTTTCTTTAATACTTTCTCAAGTCATTATCTTGGAAAACAAATGGTCATATTCATTCATTAATTTCTAGGGATTAATAATAAACTGAAGCTCTTGCTTGCTCCGACCTTTCTTTCCTTTAAGGGATTAGCACATTTTCTGCTAAAGACAGGGAATTCCCTTTTTGCCTAAAACTATCTTTTTACCTGATTTTTTTCGAAAATAAAACATTAGTTGCACGTAGTATAACTAGTAAATATCAAAAAAGGATCCTTTTTTCTGCACCTTTCTTGAGAACATGATTATAAAATAACAATTTGCAAAATTGTAAAGAATATTTTAAAATGAAAAACACCTTTATGACCGAATGTTTACACTGTACAATCTGTTGAACAAATGTTTTTTTCTTAAGAAATTCAGACCCGATCTTACTATTGAATCTTTATTGCACTGGCGCTTAATGACAAAGTTATTTCTTGAACTATGCAGCAGATTTAACTAAACAATAGATATCTTTTGGATTTATTTTTAAGGACTCTCTATTGTTTGTAGTTCTATAGAATATTGCACGTTTTTCCATTTCGTAGAAATAAGTACAAGGACGTTTAAGGACGAAGTATTTTTTTATTACACAATTCGTTACAGGATATAGATTTGTGGTTAGAAATAATCTCTAAAGGACAAAGTTAATTAGGAGAATAAACAAACTGCTGTATGCCATGAAAGATAGAGAGAAAACAAGATGGCGGAATTAGGAAAATCCCAAAAACACATTGAAATATAAAAGTGATTTTTAATGTTTTCTCAGTTGGGCACTTATCAAGGATCTATATGCGACTTTAAGTTCTTTATATAAAAATCCATTCTAGTTCCAAACTTCAAGTGATCACAGTATATCAAAATTTTCCCGATTTCAAAATTATTTCAATATCTACAGGCGATCTAAGGTTTTTAATCATTTTTGTTTGAAAACTAATCACAGTACTTGATAAAACCTAGAACTGAATTACAATGGAACATGTTATTTATTAATCCCTCGAGATTCAGGAATGAACATAATCCAGAGTTTTTCAATTGCTCTCAAAAGAAAA